AAACAAAGCAGAGTAGTGAGTAATATTTGCTTATGTGACCTGGTAATTCTTCACTGACCAAACTAGTATAATCATCTCGCTAAAAGAAAAGTTCTATAATCCTAAGTAGTTAATCATGTTGACTGGGAAAAATAATATTTCACACAACAAAGTTGAATTGTACATTTTTTCTTCCTCCAGCAGATGGTGACATTTTATAGACTATGGATAAATTGTCCAGACCAGTAAGCTAAGTGACTAAAATAGAATTGCCTCTAGTTTGTTTTCTCTATCTACATCTTGAATTCATTTACAAAATGGCATTCATCAAGAAGTCACATTTATAAAAGAAGACCAAGAATAATAAAAAATCATGACCAATATTTACAGTGAAATTTTTCAAATTCTTAGCTACATTGTGTTTTTTCATATTTGGCATGAAGTCACATCAGCTTGCCTATATACAAAAATAGAACAGCAAGGACAGAATGCTAAAGTGCGCAACTGTTTCTTTAAATAACGTCCATCTCTCATACCCCTTCATTTCTTGCTATGTGAGTTTCAAATCTAATGAGATTTCACAGACTGAGATGTGGACAAAAGGCAGTTCAGGCAGAGGAAACAACTTGAGCTCAGACTTAAAAGCATCAAACTATTTGACATTTTTGCCGGACCCGGAACTGTTTGGCTAGAACACACTGCATAAAACACACAGTGCTACCAACTGAACTGGAGTGGAGGATAGAAGAGGAAGAGGAAGGAATTGGTGGGAAGTGAGACTGTAGGTTGGGGCCAGACTATAAAATCTTTAGAAGGCATGCTAATGAGTAAGGACAGCACTATGAAAAACCTTATGAGGTATGCTAAGGAGTGTGAAGTTGGTCTTGTGGGCCTCAGAGCGCTGTCTTACAAAGGTGTGAACACAGTAAAAGAGGGAAACAGAGAGACCAATTAAAAGATGATGGATCACACAATGCTGGAGAGGAAAAACACAGTGTGGATTGAGGAACGATGACATTTTGCATGGAAAAGGGTTAATGATGGAGCCATGTTTAGGAGGCACTCACATGATAGGTAGATGGTGAATGGCTGGATGTGCTGTCTGAGAAAAGGAGAGGCATGTACAAAGATGACTGTGGGGTTTCCAATACTGGCATGTTCATGTGTAATAATAGCATTATGCAAAACAGGAAATTCACGAGGAATAGAGGGGTATAAAGGATTTGGTTTGGGATGAAACGAATTTGAGGTGCCTGGAGGGCATCCAGGTGCAGTTGCTGGGACAAAAGTAGAATTATGAGATTAATGAGTTCAAGAGAGAAATCTGGAAATGCTATTTGAGTGAACAATGAAGACTTGCTGGGAAAGGCCATGGTAATTGAGTCCCAGGTGGTTGAATAAAATGAGAAAAAGATCCTAAGGATAGAGCTTTGGGATTCCCAATATGTTCGGCTAGCCCAGTGATGGCGAACCTTTTGAGCTCGGCGTGTCAGCATTTTGAAAAACCCTAACTTAACTCTGGTGCCGTGTCACATATAGAAATTTTTTGATCTTTGCCACCATAGTAAAACAAAGATTTATATTTTGATATTTATTTTATATATTTAAATGCCATTTAACAAAGAAAAATCAACCAAAAAAATGAGTTCGTGTGTCACCTCTGACATGCGTGTCATAGGTTCGCCACCACTGGGTTAGGTGGAGACTATGTAGGAGATTAAGAAGGAGCAACTTGAGCCATAGCCGGTTTGGCTCAGTGGACAGAGCATTGGCCCTTGGACTTAAGAGTCCCAGGTTCGATTCTGGTCAAAGGCACATACCTTTGTTGTAGGCCCCCACGCATGTGCAAGCAATTGATGTTTCTCTCTCTGTGTCTCTCCTCCTCCCTTCATTCTCTCTAAAAACCAATGGAAAAAAAATATCCTCAGGTGAGGATTAACAAAATTAAAATTAAAAAAGGAGCCACTTGAGAGGTAGTAAGGAAACTACAGGGAATGGAGTTATGTTTAAAGAGGAAAGAATGAAAGTAACCTTCTCACAGTACAGCTTTTTTATTGGTGGGAAATAGAGTGGTATACAGTGATATCCTAACAATCTTTCTAGAATAATCCCTTTGGCCAGAGCTTGGAAATCTGTCTGGTCCTTAACATGTTAGAAAGTCAACCTCTTAAGGATGTGAAAGACTGAGCATAACATATAATTAACTAGAGGCCTGATGCACAGATTCGTGCACATTGAAAGGAAATTAATTAGAAGGTGGCCGGTGGGGCGGGACTGGGCAAGATGGGCTGGACACACCCTGGAGCCAACCTCCTGTGGTCCCTCCCTGGCCAGCTGCACCTGCAGCGGCGCTAGGGCTCAAAGGGTGTCTACGGAGTGAGTGGGGTCCCTCTGGCAGGTGGGGTCCCTTGGCCTGGCTTGCAGGGATCGAGCCAAAACCGGCAGTCCGACATCCCCTGATGGGTCCTGGAGTGTGAGAGAGTACTCTGCAAAGTTGCTGTTGCTTGGCAGCTCCTGCGTTGAGCGCCTGCCCCCTGGTGGTCAGTGTGCATCATAGAGACTGGGGTCTACTGGTTGTTCGGTCGTTCGGTCACTTAGGCTTTTATATATATAAAGTTTGAGATGTACTAGTCTAGGATATCCTTTCTCACCTGTCTGGTGCTTGGGAGGCCAGTTGGTCTGGGAAGCATCAGCTGGAAAGGCTTATTCTCTGATCTATGTGGCTAGCCCAGGCTTCCTCACACAGCAACTTCAGGGTTCCCAAGAGCAGTAAGGGGGCAATCCCCACAGTGGAAGCTTTTTTTCAAGCTTCTGCTTGTGACCCATTTGCTACTATCCCTTTGATCAATACAAGTCACAAGGCCATCCCAGGGTCAGTGTGGGTAGGTATTGCCAAAGGGCATGAAGAGAGGAGGATACAACTTCCTGGTTATTTTAAAAACCTATGACACTCTACTGGGGTTTAGACTTTGCGAATAAAACACCTTTTGCACTCTGCCCAGCCACATCCCTCCACTCAAGTGAGCACAGAGCCACCTATTTGCTTAAAAGAAGACAGGAGGGTGGATATAAAAACATGGGGAAGGAACAAAGGTATAGATTTACATTGGAAAATATATTCTTGCCACAAAGGAAAAGATGGGTACAGATGTAAGTGGATATATAGGTCTGGTATCGGAAAAGTGAGATATTATCTAAAACAGTTTCATTTTCTCTTGAAGAAGGAGGTAAGGTTATCTGTTGAGATGGGAAGGAGTCGTGGAAGGCAAAGAGAGGGATCAAAGATCTAAATACTAGTAGTGTAGACGTCTCCTTCTAGAAGGTTTGAAATAGTCTTGAGCCTGGAAATTGACATGGAAAGTACAGGATCTCAGGGACCATTTGAGATTGATGATTATGACTTTATCTTGATGCAATCTGTCCTGTAGGGAAACTTTTTGCAACAGTGTCTGCAGGCACAGAAAGAGCAAAATGCAGGGTTTGGGAGATTTTGCTAAATAAGTAATTAAAAGACAGAGGAAAATGGAGTTTAGGTTATTGGCAGAAGTATTATTAAAATAATGGTCTGGAGTCTTTTTGCTGAATATGAAAATGAGAAGAAAATGGGGGTACTGGTCAATGAGGTTGGAGAGTAGAGAAAATTTGAGCAAGTGATTGAAAGGAGACAGAATTGTGGACAGAACGTGGATGTTTGAGCTGGTGATTTCATAGGTGGAGTAGTTTCTGTGATGAAAAAAGACTGAAGAAGAGCTTTTGAGATGCTCTGACTCTTCCACTTTGAACACCTTTCCCTTGTGATGAGAATTGCTTTAGAGCTTCCATTAACTGTACACCACCTTCTGCAAAAGAGTGCTCGTTATCCTGAGGACACAGAGCAAAAAATTATCCTTTTTAGTTCTCTTTTGGATTTCAGGAACTCCGAGTTTAATCTGCCTCTTGGACTTCCTGTCACTTTTTCATCCATCCTCGAGTACATGTCCCCCCTTATGGGTCTTCTAAACACTGAGCTCCCGAGAAACGCCTCCATCTTCCCACTATGATTCTGTAAATGTTTTTTGCTCACTTGGGTCAGAAGTCTCGGTTACGCCAACACCAGGAAGTACAGAAGCACTAAAAATCATGGCACTTTTAAAATGAGTAAACAGATTCTCAGGATGTCTGTAAAAGGTGCATGCACCTCAGGGGGCAAAACTCAACTCAACACTTGACATTTCACAAAGACTACACCTTAATAACTAAGTGCGCCATATGACTGCAGTAGTGCCTCTGAGCTCTCTGGACCTCCATGTAATGTGCAATCTTCTCCCCCCCCCCCCCCAAATCCTCACCGGAGGATATGTTTTTATTGAGATGAGAGAGAGAGAGAGAGAGAGAGAGAGAGAGAGAGAGAGAGAGAGAGCAACACTGATGTGATGGGCTGTCTCTCCATACGTGCCTGGCAGGGGATCAAATCCTAAACCCAGGTATGTGCCCTCACAGGGAATGGAACCTGCAGCCTTTTGGTGTATGAGATGATGCTCCAACCAACTGAGCCACCGGGCCAGGGCGCAGTCCTGTATTTTTATCTAAGTGGAGAGATTCTCCATCCAGAACTCTAACACTCATCCTGGGCGGATGTGGGCACTGGATGTAGATGGTGACCAGGAACCTGACTCTAAATAGTGTGGAAGCGAGCCTGCCTGTGAGAGAGATGGCCAGGCAGGGGACATGTGGCCAGAGAGGCAGTGGAGATCTCTGGGTGGGGTCCACGTCCCATCACTGGGTACATTCCGTACACGAGCCCCTCCCTTGCCTGATGTTAATTCATGAAGACTTGACTTCATTACGGAGGAGTTCGGGAAAGGTGGGGTCTGGCTCCGTGCACCCCAGCCGGCGACTCCACCCCCCACCACCCACCCCCGCAACTCCGCCCAGCAGGGAAGGAGGCGGGGAGAAATTGCGGGCGAGGCGGGCGGCTGCCAAGGCGGCCAATCGGCGGCTGAGCCGAGGGACCGGGGCGCCGCCACCAGCCACACCGCCTCCCAAGTTTCCCCTGCGGATGCCCAGCCCCGGTGGCTCCGCTCCTCCCGGCTCAGAGGGGCCCACAGGGGCCGGAGGAGCGGACTCCCGACAGGGTTCCTAAGCCAGGGGAGAGGACGGGCGCCCCACTCGCTCCGAGGGTCGGTCAACGATGAAGAGCCGGCGGCGGCGGCGCAGGGAGTACTGCAAGTTCGCGCTGCTGCTGGTGCTGTACACGCTGGTGCTGCTGCTCATCCCCTCCGTCCTGGACGGCGGCCGCGACGGCGACAAGGGCGCCGGGCCCTGCCCCGGCCTGCACCGCAGCCTCGGGGTGTGGAGCCTGGAGGCGGCGGCGGCGGGAGAGCGCGAGCGGGGCGCGGAGGCGCGGCCGGCCGCCCAGGGGCCCGCGGGCCCGGCCCCCGGTGCGGCGGGCAACCTCAGCGGCGCCGTCGGGGAGACGGTGCCCGGCGAGAAGCAGCACATCTACGTGCACGCCACCTGGCGCACCGGCTCGTCGTTCCTGGGGGAGCTCTTCAACCAGCACCCGGACGTGTTCTACTTGTACGAGCCCATGTGGCACCTGTGGCAGGCGCTGTACCCGGGCGACGCCGAGAGCCTGCAGGGCGCGCTGCGCGACATGCTGCGCTCGCTGTTCCGCTGCGACTTCTCGGTGCTGCGGCTGTACGCGCCTCCGGGGGACCCCGCCGCGCGCGCCCCGGGCGCCGCCAACCTCACCACGGCCGCGCTCTTTCGCTGGCGGACCAACAAGGTCATCTGCTCGCCGCCCCTGTGCCCCGGCGCGGCCCGGACCCGGGCGGAGGTGGGCCTCGTCGAGGACGCCGCCTGCGAGCGCAGCTGCCCGCCCGTGGCCCTGCGCGCCCTGGAGGCCGAGTGCCGCAAGTACCCGGTGGTGGTCATCAAGGACGTGCGCCTCCTGGACCTGGGCGTGCTGGTGCCCCTGCTGAGGGACCCGGGCCTCAACCTGAAGGTGGTGCAGCTTTTCCGCGACCCGCGGGCCGTGCACAACTCGCGCCTGAAATCCCGGCAGGGGCTGCTGCGCGAGAGCATCCAGGTGCTGCGCACCCGCCAGCGGGGCGATCGCTTCCCGCGGGTGCTGCTGGCGCCCGGCGTGGGCGCCCGGCCCGGGGGGGGCCCCTCCCGCGTGCTGCCCGCCGCGCCGCGCACCGACTTCTTTCTCACCGGGGCGCTGGAGGTCATCTGCGAGGCCTGGCTGCGCGACCTGCTGTTCGCGCGCGGGGCGCCCGGCTGGCTGCGGCGCCGCTACCTGCGGCTGCGCTACGAGGACCTGGTGCGGCAGCCGCGCGCCCAGCTCGGGCGCCTGCTGCGCTTCGCCGGCCTCCGCGCCCTGGCCGCGCTCGACGCCTTCGCGCTCAACATGACGCGGGGCTCGGCCTACGGGGCGGACCGGCCCTTCCACCTGTCGGCGCGCGATGCCCGCGAGGCGGTGCACGCCTGGCGGGAGCGGCTGAGCCGGGAGCAGGTGCGCCAGGTGGAGGCCGCCTGCGCCCCGGCCATGCGGCTGCTGGCCTACCCTCGCAGCGGGGAGGAGGGCGACGCCGAGCCCGGCCTGGACGAGGAGACATCGCAGGAGGTGGAGGCCGCTGGCGCCACGTAGCCTCCCGGCCGCAGCCCGGGGGGAGATCCGGGTAAGGGGGCGCCTGGGGCCGGGAGGGGCCCGGGAGGGGCTGGAGGGGCTGGGGCCAGCCTGCAGGGGAGGTCGTGTTGCCGGCCCGGAGCTCACCCGGTCAGGACAGGTCTGAGCGGTGGGAAAGCGCTGCTGGCAGAATTGGAGCGTCGCCACCTGCCTCCTCCAGGGAGGGCCCCGAGATGAGAGAGGTTAAGTATGGCTGCGCCGGAACCCAGGTCTAGGCACTCCCAGTGCCCTCTATGAAGTAGGAGTGAAGGTCATCTGTTGAGAATTGGGGGAGTGGGAGGGGGAACAGAGGTCTGGGGAGAGCGGAGAAGGTTTGAAAGTCACACTGGAACTTGAGACCGGAAATTGACATGCAGAGCATAGAATTTGGGGGACCATTTGAGGTCGATGATGATGACTTTATCTTGATGGCAATCTGTGCTGTGGGGTTAGGTGGAAAGTTATTGACTCTTATTCTACCTCCCCCAATCTGTTTCATATTTCTTCTCTCTCTCTCTCTCTCTCTCTCTCCTCTCTCTCTCTCTCTCTCTCTCTCTCTCTCTCTCTCTCTCTCTCTCTCTCTTTCTCTCTTTCTCTCTCTGATGTGGAGGTTCCAGAACTTTTCTTCTGAGTTCCCAAGCACACAGGCATAGTCAGGCTTCTCTTGCAATAGTTTTTGCCCGTGTGTGTCTCAGGCTCTGGTATAGTGGCCTAGAATGCACTTAGCTTTCCTCCTGGCTCATGTGGAGTCTCCTCCTACCCCCACGGCTGGTGTTTGCAGGACATTTGACCATATCCCATTTACAGCAATTCCCAAGAGCTGCTTGGTCAGCTTCCTCTAGTGCCGACAGACCTCAGGGCCGGGCTTCCCCTCGCTTCATCCCATCCGTTTTTTGTTTTTTTTGTTTTGTTTTTAATATTTTTATTTCAGAGAGGAAGGGAGAGGAAGAGAGTGATAGAAACATCAATGATCAGAGGGAATCATTGATTGGCTGCCTCCTACACGTTGGACCGAGCCCGCAACTCAGGCATGTGCCCTTGACCGGAAGCGAACCTGGGACCTTTGGGTCCGCAGTCTGACGCTCAGTCCACTGAGCCAAACCAGCTAGGGCAACCTTAGATCCGCAGTAGCAACAGGAGGAGCTTTGTGAAAAGACACGCCCACCCCCCACCCCCCACAATTTGTTTTGTTCTTTCTCTGTAAAGTACACATCCTGAGATGCTCAAATGGGGCTGAAATGATCTCAGAATGTGTTCAGTGTCTGGTCAGTTGTTGGCCGAGGGAAGAGTTTGTTCTGCATGAGGCTGACTTTAGGAGTCTAGTCAGTGGCATGGGGATAGCTTTCCCCAAACTGTGTGGGAGTTGGAAGGGTGAAGCTTTCTGCACTGTGCAGTCCAGAGGGGGAGGAAAAGCCGGGCCTGGTGGGAGGAAGTGACTTAAGTTTCCATTCATTATTTTATAGTATAATTCACTATTCCCCTGGGATGACGCTCTGAGGACAAAGTTGAAGATGTTAATGAACATGGATATTGTTGTTGTTAGTAGCAGCTGGCTGAATTTTCTCCCAGTAATCAAGTGGTTTTGTATGTCAGTTTCTGTACTTTCTGGGAAGTCTGTGTTCCTTCCTGGTTTCCAGAGGAAAGGACAGTAAGGCCCAGGGTGACTTGTCACATCTGAACAAAAACATCCTTTCATCTGTTAATCCTGTATTTACAGATGTAAATAACATAATGGTCCCTAACCCTCCTTCAGAGGCCTGAGGAATCCCCTCTCCAGGGCAAATGCTGCATTTTATGACTTTATAGAACTGACAGTCTCCCAGAAACTTTTCCCCCATTTTAAAAATATTTTATTGATTTCAGAAAGGAAGGGGGAGATAGAAACATCAATGATGAGAGAGAATCATTGATTGGCTGCCTCCTGCACGCCCCCTACTGGGGATCAAGCCCGCAACCCGGGCATGTGCCCTTGACCAGGAATCCTCAGTTTTCTTAACATTTATTGAGTGCTGATTGGGGTGGGATAAGAAAGAGAATAGAGAGGAGGGTTTAGTACAAGGCTTCATCTTCTAGGACGTTACTAGTATAAAGGTGACTACGGAGGAGACACTAATGCTGCTGTTTGGAAGGCCAACCGGGCTTTCTCTGCAAGGCTGCAGGGACATCTGGGAGCCAGTTTTAGGCTCTTCCATACTTTGGTGACTAATCCCTTCCTCCCACATTTCTGCTGGAATTATTGGGCACTTACCATGTCTCCACCAACATTATTGACCCATCAATGAGTTTCTAAAACCCTGTCAGGCTCTACTTTAGGGAAGAGAAGGGAATGGATCCTTATGTACCATGCATTGAGTTGGGCATTGTACATATATCATTATTTGGACATGTTATCAGTTTTATAGATGAGGAATCTGAGACTCAGAGAAGTTAAGTAATTTGCCTGAAGTCACACCTGGGCTGGTGAGGGTGAAGCAACTTTGGTGTTCGAACCCAGAGCTCAGAATCTCTCCATTATAACACACCCTTACCTGGCCTCCCTTAGCAGCCCCTGGCAGCACCATTGGTACTCCAGCCATTCTTAGAGACTAATCTGGGGTGAGAAACACATTTAGCTTTATTACTAATACTAGAGGCCCAGTGCACGAAATTCATGCACTGGTAGGGTCCCTAGCAGCTGCTGGCTGCCAGTCAGGTACTCCCTCCCTTCCCCTGGCCAGCCCCGCAGATCCCCCCGCCCCCCCCCCCCCCCCCCGCCGTCAAACTCACCGATGAACTCCCAGTCGAGGGGACAATTTGCATACTATGCTTTTATTATATAGGATGTTTCATCTACTGAACAAATCAATAAAATATCCTGGAGCTACCAACAACAACCTACACAGGATAGCTGGTAACTCTCCAGCCAGCCTCCCCATGGCTGCCCTTCTCATGGGGCATCTGACCATGCCCTCAGCTCATCAGTGAAAAAGGTCTACACATTAATTGACCTGAGTAACTCCTGGATGGTCCAGACCTGACAACCAGGATTTGCCAGGGAGGGAGTCGGTGCAATTTTTTCAGGGCTGGATGGGGACCTCAGCACCCTGAATCAAGTTACCAAGGACCCAGACCCTTTCCACCTTTTGCATCTTTTTGGATTTCATGCACCATCTTATCTTCCCACTGTCGCAAGATGGTAGCCTCAGCAACAAGCATCACTTCCTCACACAACTACTCAGGGTTTTTAAAATGCAGAAAGGGAGGAAACTGATCAGCAAGTAAGCAGTGGAAGAGTTTTTCCTTATCTGTCTCTCTTTCCTTCAATCTGGTTATGGAAACCTTTCCCAGAATCCCCTGCCCCCAGCCAACTTCCTATTACGTCTCACTCGCTAGAATTGACTGGTCCAAAAATCGTTGAAAGTGACTAGCATCATCATGTTTGGACACATTACATTCATTGGAGGAGCTCTTGTTTCTAATGTCAATACCTGAGTTCCACCCCTAGAGATATTGATATAATTGGTCCGGCATTGGGATGTTTGTAAAAGTTCCCCAGGTGACTGACTGTACTGTAGAGAGAAGCTGAGGACCACTGACTTAGACCAGTCATGATTCATCCCCCAGGCTAGCTTGTTGCCACGGGAACAAGATCAGGATGGGGGCTGTTAATGAGCAACAAACTGTCTGCCACAGTAATCCTATATAATGAGAGAAATATGCAAATTAGGCCAGGACATCATGCCCAGCTCAGAGCATGCGCCCCCAGCCCCAGTGGACACACACCACACACCAGGGCTGGGGGCGGGCTCCGAGTAGCCATGGCATGGCTCAGAGCCCACCCCCAACCCCGGCGCTGCCAAGCTCCGAGGCCACTCCTGCCGGGGATTCGCGGGCAAGCAAACCACACAGCCTGCCCTGGGAGCAAGGCCCCTGGTGGGAGTGCAGTGCTGTCCAGCTCCAAGGCCACTCCCGCCAGGGGCTTGCAGGCAGGAACACCACACCACCTGCCCTGGGAGCAAGGCCCCTAGAGGACCCACGGACCAGCCCAGGGGGGCATGCTCCAAGCTGCAGCGTGGCTGGGACCAAGGCCCCCAGCAGACCCGCCCAAGAGGGTGTGCTCCAAGCTGTGCCGCAGCGGAGACCAAGGCCCCTGGCGGACCCTCGGACCTACCCAGGGGGGCATGCTCTGAGCCGCTGCGGCCAGACTGTTGCTTAGGCCCGCTCCCCATTGGGAGCAGTCCTAAGCCATCAGTAGGACATCCCCTGAGGGCTCCCAGACTGTGAGAAGGATCAGGCTGGGCTGAGGAACACCCACCCAGTGCACAAATTTTGTGCATCGGGCCTCTAGTTTATGTGAAAGAACTTGAAATTGTGAAATTCCAAGCAGATGTAGGGTATTAATATGGAAAGGGGAAAATGTTTTAAATTATTCATGACTACGGTTCCCAGCAGACTGATGTGCTATCCTATCCTTTTCACCTCTACCCTTGGTAGGACCCAGGCTTTCATTCCCATAGGCATTTAAGACACCTTGAAAGGAGATAAGTGCACTGTACCTTAATTCCCAAGAGTCAGAAAGCTTTTTTTTTCTGAGGAAATCATCCAAACAGAAAAAGCAATGACCAACCACCCCCAAGTCCCTAACAACATTATGAAAGTCATTCCATTTTAATCAGGTTATTATGCTCCAAATGGCGCATGTATAAATATTACTGCAAGGAGAACCTCGTGCTTCAACACAGACTGCCGATGAGAAGGCATTTGTTAAACATTGTTCCTACACAGATTTCTCATTCAAGAAAATTAGTTTAAGTTTCCAATTGTAAGGCATTGTGGGTGCTGTGTTCATGCTAGAGGGATGGAAGTTAGGAGGGATAGTGCATGTGTGTGTACGTGTGTATGTGTGTGTGTGTGTATCCATAAGTAGGTACCTGAGTGGCAGGGCTACAGTAAGGTGTAAACAATTTTTATTTTATTTTTAAATATATATTTTTATTTCAGAGAGGAAGGGAGAGGGAAAGAGAGATAGAAACA